ATGTTTCATAGCAATACAAGTTTATATTTAAAATTTATAGTTGCATATTTTGCATATTTGACCATTTTTCATTTATGTGTATATTTGATAATTATTCATTTTATAAGTGCATATTTGACAATTATTTATACGAAGAAATAAATTTTTTAATTTTATAAAAAAAAAATTATGGATTTATTTCTTCGTCTATCGTTCGACTTTAAACCCAAGGTGTGGCACTAACTGAATCAAAATAATTGAAACTACTAAAGAACGTATATCGTCTGAAAAATTGAAGGATCTGCACAAGCTAAAGCAATTGATGACAAAATTAAAAAAGTTTTGGAGAAAAAAGTTGGATTTAATGAACTACAAAAAAATATCGAACATTTTAAATGGACAAAATTAATTTATGGATAAATTACCTGCAGGTATTAGTAGTATTGACCTACCATTTTTAAGTTAACATTAATAAGTTCGTAGACGTGGAACGTTCATTTTCTAAATTAAAAATATTTTGGCTGATAACGGGCGGTCATTCAAATTTCCCAATTTAAGAAAATACCTTATAGTCCAATGTAATGGTCAAGGTATTTAGTACTATATTAAAAATAGAAAATAATTATTCAATTTAATTTATTTTTAAAAAAATGTTAAATTGTTTGTTTTAGACAAAAACTCAATACGAGAATAAGATGAAAACAAATTTGAAAAAAAGAAAAAAATTATCTCAAAACATCATATTTATCAGATCTAAAAATATTATTATTATTTATTACTAATTTTTTTTTTTATTCAATTAATTATTACAAATATACATTTTTTTAATAGCATATTTATTGATTTTTTAGGACATACATGCATGCATAGTTTAGGGTTTTTAAGGTCATGAAGTTCGTAGCCCTACTGATGTGCGAAGCGTTAAGTACTCGTACATCGTACATCAATTCGGCACGGTCGACATTTAAATATTATACAATACGTGACGCTGCTTTAGTTTATAAAATGTTCGGTTTTTTTTTTTTTTTTGCAGATGAGAATTCCTGAAATGTAAGAGATGTTAAACGTTTATAACATAATTATTAATTTTCAATACAAAAAAATGTAAAAAATAAACAATTGCTCAGCCTGGATTATCATTGTGTTTGTAATGTACGACCGGTTTCGAATTATAAATTCATCATCAGGTATGTACAAAGTCTATAAAATCGTGAATCTATTATTATTATTATTAATTATTATTTATTAATTGTGGACACATCTGCTGTCATTGGCATCGTGGGCGAATAAACAAATATGCGCCCCTCCCCATATGGTTAGAAGTCGTTTTATTTTAAATCGTTATCTGATGCTATTAATATCTAATTCCTAAATAAATAGCGATTACGAATGACGACTGACAATAATAATAATTCATTATCTACGGACTAAATTATTATCGGCGATTGTAAACTACGCCCAAAATACAGGTAAACACAAAATCATGCATGTAAACTGCGCCCGAGTAAAATTCCAGGTAAAATACTTAATTCGTTACAGCCATATATATGAATAATTAAAAAAAAAAATATAATTTTAAAAAGCAAAATAATAACATATGGTGGATACATTTTCCTCAATTGGAATTTGACCAATATTATATTTATTTATTAAATTTTCTAAGTTTTTCCCTTTTTTTTTTTTTTTTTTTTATTTTAGGGTTTTTGGAATTTAAACGGTTCATTTATTTAGTTTAATGTATACTTCTATTTGAATTTCTTTTAACTTTTTTATGAACATGAAAATATTTGGATGAGTTGTATAAAAGCTGGAATTATAGTGAGAATGAAAAGACTCGCATGTATTTGTGGTTAAAGTTGGCTCTGCTAGTGTTTGAACCTATACTTCAAGTGAATACTGAGCTTCTTCACTTATAATTACGTCTACAAAATAATCTGCAAATCGTGTCACTCTTTCGTCGTCAGGCTTTGATTTCATTAAATATTTGACAAAATACTCAGATACACTTCTTGGACTTAGAAATGGTAAGCCGTAACATTAAGCTAACCATCTTCTAATATCACTATTTTTATTTTTATAGTCATTACTTAATCCATTTTGTTGGATACTTCTATTCTAAGACTGTGCTAAATACAAAGCGACATACATAGAAACTTTAATAAGTTAATGAGTCGGGCGCAGTTTACACTATACCTTTTTAACGTAGATACAATTTCGGACGCAGTTTACAAAAAAAAATGATCATTTGGGCCCAGTTTATGTATGTCCATTATTATATACCTATCATAATAAATAATAGTGAATAAAAAGGATAGAATATTAGAATTATAGTCGAATAATTTTTCAATTTTAACATTATATAAATGAGGCGCCCCCCCTTTCAAAAAGCGCCCTAGGTGTAGGCTCAAATCGCCCACCCCTAACGCCGGCCCTAATTGTCGAAATACCCAAGTGTTTGAAGAGCACACTATGAACTTACTTCGAAAACTATTACATATTTATTTAACTTTGAAACAAATATTTAAAAAGTTGAAACCGCTCATCTTGTAGATTTTAATCCGCTTTGAACAGTCATAAAGAATTAATGAACTTACACTAATTCAACCTAATGGATTTTTTAATTAATAATCTTTGAGCGGTATTATGTTGCGAGTCTAAGTTCAACATTTATTAGTCATGTAGAAAGACTTGAAAGATATAAAGGAAAAACATTTTAGGCGTTCATAATCGTACTCTATATATATATATATATATATATATTATAAAACAATTTCTTTAGCTTTTATCGGAAAATAATCACCATCGTAGTGGGTATTCATTGCATAGTTGTAAAATATTTAAAATGATCCTTATAAAATAATAACAATCAAGCATTTGCTCATAATCTTTGTGTCTTACGTCTAAACTTAAGTTCTAATTTTAAAAAAATCAAATCCTTGATCGATCAATCAGAGTAGACTTCAATAGTTCGAATATAATAAGTTATGCGAATACCAAATAATGTATATAAAATACATTAAGAGTGAAAACAAAGAATTAATAGAATAATGATTCTATTCTTGGTATTTAACAAAACATATAGTCATACATTGCGTACGAATTTCGTTTACAAACTTCATTAATTGTTGATTAATGATTATTTAGTTCCCTATGCATAATGTAGTTTGTCCAGTACATCTGGTTTTCATTTTCGATATTGTTTTGCGTTCAGCGAGTAAAATATAATGTCTGATTTCTTTCATTGTTGGTTGTTGAAGATATTTTTAAATATGGAACGAGTCTGGGAGATTTAAATTAAAAACGTGTGTTAATAACAGTCCGTCTCGTTTGTTCATTGAACCGAACAACAACTTGTAATAGAAACAAATTAGTGAAAAAAAATATCGAAAATACAGCAATATCGTATGTGTATTGATTGATTCGCGATATAGTTGATTGTGTACAAATCAATTATAACAACAGATGAATTACACATTGCTGAATTGAGAAAGGTCCGTAAAAAATAACCGTACGATAAACGATGATCTCCAGTGAACAGATCTGTACGAATAATATTATAACGTAAATACATGAAATGGCCTCTCACTTGAAACGTTGAGAGAAATGGATGCATGCGATACGTTTCAAAACACGTAAGAGCAGGTGGTGCACGCGCAATGAACGGTCTAAATCGTTCGATTGAAATATTATTGATTTTAGCACGCAAAAGAGTGATGATAAATTCGTCGCGATACGCGTGCAACTATGTTATATTGCCGTGACCGAAAAAAAAAAAACATCCAATTCATTTGTGTTTAGACGTACCTACTATGAGTGCGATAATCGAGTTCGAGTGTTCGCCTCTATGATAAGATATCCACTATTGGTTTTCGTTCGAGTTACATTAGCGGATAGATAAATAATTTACATAGGCACCTGTGTGTCGGTTATCTAATTGCGGTTACAGTGTAGCAGCAGAAAGTACGACCGTCAAACCTCCTCGGACCCACTCGTACACGCATTGAGCATTTTTACGTACTAGCATCAGGCCGGTACGTAAAAAAATATTTTGGTAGGCTGCACATTTTGATACTATTCAATCTTTAAACTTATAATATAACACTTATAGTCTAAAATCTATTATTATTATTATTATGTTATTATTATTTATATATAACACTTTTACTGTAGAAAAACATATTTAATAATTTTATAGGGGTAGGGTTGAACCCGTTACGCGCCCGACTAGCATTGATTATAAATACCATAGTAAATAAATATTTATGATCAACGGTACTGTTACGGTCACATCTTTACTGTATCGTTGTCATAATATTGTTACGTTTTCTTATTTTCGGTATTAATAATGCATTATTGCATCATTGTCGCGGGGTACAAAAAAAAAAAAAAAAATATACGTTTCGTTTTGTGACGCACAAGGAAAAGAAAAATTAACTTACCCCGAACATTGTATCAATAATATTATTACGTCCCGTCGGACGTGAAATCCGTATGAAACGTTATTAACTCGAGTTATCAATAAATATACAACACGAAGCTATCGGTTGAACACTGCGCAAATGCCGTTGGAAAAAAAAATGTTAATGAACACGACCGCGAAATTCCTAAGCATCGTTCGTACACTTGTACAACTTCGTTCTAATATAATGAGTCCATAACGATGCGATTGTCAAACGAATAAATGTATATACGTTATACGAACAATGCGTGTATAGACCGACTTGGTAATCGTCGCTGCGCACCGTTGATAATACGGCCGTATATAATCCGTATAGTAATAATAACAGTAATAATATGTACATAATATAATATCGTACGCGAAGAGTCTAACGACCATCGCATTAATTGTTTTTGAATGTGCCCCGAATCTATACATTTTGACGTAAGCAAACAAGCACACTCATTATGAATACGACGGTACGCGATATGAAATATTGTACAGCATTGCACGTGGCTTGGTCGAGTGCCGTCGATTTATCGAACCTAATAAAGCAATAACCGTCTGCACGCATGTTTTTCAGTACGTAAATGTTGAACGTTTTAGAGACATTATTTTGTTTTGAATCACACCGTAATAAGCGACAGCATAAACAACATAAGCAACAGCGTTTAACGTCACGTAAGTAATGGATAAAGTATCAAAAGAATACGGAACGTTTCTCGGTGACCGAAATCCCACGTCGGACGACAAGAGTCAACAACACTCTCGTACCTCGGGTTCGTAAGACATTTTTCATTTTTCAATTATTAAAATTCGTCATCAGTGACGTTATCGATTTGAAGTATTTGAATGCCGAACGATTTTTGTTAGAACATTACCCGGATGCACGGATAACACGAGTCGTTTTCATTTTAAAATCAAAATATACTGAATAAACTACGCGCTATCTCATCAAATGTCTAGAAAATTAAACTAAAAGTTGTTAATTTTTTTTTTTTATTTACATTTTTTTATAAAAATATCACGAGTATTTCATAAATAATCTGTTTTCGTTATTTCGAATATTTAATTTGTCCTGTTATTTCTGTTCAACAGTGAAATAAGTATCTACATACGTATAATTAATATTAAATAGGAAATAAGGATCAAAAAACTTAAAAGGTTCGTGAGAATTATTACAAAACTTGATCAATTAATAATATGGCTCTCGGATCATAAATTTACAGTTATATAGATACTCACAAGCTTCGGAGGGTGAAATCAAGGTAATTATGAGTACTTAGGGATGCTAACTAGTTGGAATTTTGGGATGGTAATTTAAAAGTATTCAATACCCATTTATGAAAAAATAAAATTGTTCACTGCGCTAATTAATTTATTAATTATTATTAATTCCTGTTATTATTTATTAAAGTAATAATAATTTTAAGTCGAATCCTCTAATGTTCTTAACGACTCAAATAGCGACTGTTATGTAAATAAATTGAATTAATCATCGGGATTGAAATTATGTACTAATTGATTTTAAGTCGTTCTTCAGTGTTATTTAAATTACTATTCAGTGTCAAAGCATTGTTTCGTTCTGTTCAAATTAAACACTCAAGTACAACGTATAAGATAAAAAAAGTTTTAATCAGTAATTAATCAACTATTGGACTTGATTAAGTTGTTTCTGTTCTGATTTAAACCGTGTTTGATTTTTTAGTTTTATTTTTACGATCCATGTAAAGCTATTACCTTCTTCTTCTTCTTCTTAGGCGTTTACAGGCCATTCAGGCCCATTACCGCAACAACCACTTGCCTCTACCTGTCTCGGTCTCTTGCCAGCTATTACCAATATACGAATATTATACATATAATACAAAGAATTTTTTAGAACAAATTAACTGATATCTTTAAAAGTACCTACATTTTGAAGCATTATATAACAGTTTATCACATTTTATGAACATATTGTATTTTCATTGGACGGTTTCACCTACTAAAATGAACACCAATGGATAACACTTATATAAAACGAAATAGCAATTCTTTTATTTTGTGCGATTTAATTTCCGTCTTGGATCATTTCGTACCAACTTGTATTTTGTTGTATCATAGATAGTACTTCACGCGTTAACGAGTAAATTAAATTTACTCGATATATGATGTAGAAACTGAGATATCAAAAGTTACATAGTGTATTGTGTATACGGTAAATCGTATTTGTATAATATTCTGTGAGGCTGTCTGTAAGCCAAGTATTATAAAATTAAAATCGTTTTCAATACGATGTTATTATATCCTTGTAAATCATAATCCTTAGCGAAAAACTACATTGATTCCTTTCAGTTTCAAATGTGGTTCGTCACCCGAGTACAATAGTTCGCGTAATACATACGTACTATCTGTTTTAGTAATATAAGTATCATTATCGTTATCATTGCGATATAAAAATGAAAAATAATATCCAATGATTTCAGTCCACTAGCATATAATAGTATGATAATCAATGGAAACGTTGACAAGATATATGAAACTAAAATAACAAATTCGTCTTTTAATAATAAATAATGTTGTCTAACCAGCATGCGGTAATGTTTTACGTGTATTAATTTAAAAATTAAGCATTAAAGTTTTGAAAAATAAAACATTGCAGAATAATTACATCCCTTAGTAATATACACTAGCAGGGATGCAAATATTATGTTCATTGAAAAAAAAGGTGTTTGATATTTAGAGAAAGAAATTATTTGAATTAACTTCAGTAAGCAGCCCAGGAGTATTATAAAAAAAAGAGGTTTTTGTTATTGAGAGAAACTGCACAATAAGGCTGAAAAATCCATGTCATAAATACAATATGGTACGTTTTTTACATTTTAATGACATGTAAATACTTTATTTAAATATTTTTTTTAAGCCTATATAATTAAAAATAATATTACATACCTAACATGAACACTCTGATAAAATATGATATCTGATAAAATGTGTACTTCAAATCAGTCTAGAAACTTCAATGATGATATGTAGAAACTAGGATTTCTTCAAAATCCAACGAAAAAAAAAAAAAATCCCATAACCGATCAGGTTAATTGTGTATTGATTTCTAAAAAGGTACAATTAATCGTACGACAGATCGTACAACTTTGCTACATTGATACGATTTCACAAACGATTATCGTAACTAGTGGCGAAACTAGAAAAAAAATGTTGGAGAAGGTTACAATGTTACATTACTATAATATATGTATAAGCTAAAATCCTGCCTGGTTAATAATATTACATAATTAATGTTAATATATACACTGTATACATTTCTCAATTAGTATTGTCATATATATAATATTGTTATATATCACAAGAAATAAAATAATAAACGTCGTATTTATAAAAAAATAAACAAAAAACACTTATAGATTAATATTGAGTCTTCGTTTTGAAGTTTTAGCCATTTCATTAATTATCATCAATGGATCAACATAAATATCCTGATATATATTGAGGACTGCTAATCCATTTAGTCTCATTTGACCAATAGTATTTCTCAGATAATTTTTTAGTCGACGCTAGAAAAAAAAAATACCTCTCTTCAGTAGCTGTTGTGACTAATAGTGTAATTAATATTTGCAATAACTTCGAGGTTACAGGAAAAAAATCAGGTTTACAATGGAAATATACTTCGGTTATTGTTAAAGACGAATTTGGTGATTTGAATGCGCAACTGTTATACCACAGTTTAAGTTCACCATAACCTACTTCTAGGCTAGTCAAATTGTTGCTGTTACTTAATATATCAGTATAAAAATTGTACATAATTTTGAAGTCTTCAAAAGTTTCTTCAGATATTTGTTTGTTAGTCTTAGGTAATAAACAATTGAAAATTTTTAGTTTGGCCCTATGTTCAAGAAATTGTCTATGGAGCTGTTCAATAAAGTTTCCAATAAATAGGGTGAATATTGATACTTTATAATGTTGGATTATTATTCGTAACATTACTTCTACAAACAAAAAAATAGTTTTTTGTCGACTTGTTCTTGGAACACTAACAGTTATACCAATACTAGTATAGACATTTTTAAATATATTATCAAACTCAACACCAGCATTATCGCGGATTTATTTTATAATTGATTGAGTCATATCAGTAAATTCTAGGGCAGATTCTAAATCTAAGTTTTCAGTTTGAAGAAATTTGCCCAAAGGAGCAGTTATTGCAAATACTTTTACTAATACCAATAAGGCTACTTGAAACCTTAATTGATGGATGGAGGAACTAAATCGGTTAGCTAAAGCAGAAGTCTCAGTATCTTTCCAAGTAGATATTTCATTAAGTGCATCCACATCTGCAGGTTGAAGTTCATGAGACACAAGTACATCATGGCGTTCAACTCACCTTGTAGGACAACATTTTTTTTAGTTTTTTTCAATTTTTATTCATGTAATTCATATTGAATTGATATTTTAAGTACATTTTGTCTTTTAGAATAGTCAAAAAAGTTACATATAGATTGCATTGTGCCCATACAGTTTCGAATATCAGTTCCATTACAACTAAATGAAATAGCCAAGTTTAAGCTATGTGCTTCACAGTGGATATATAAAGCCATCGTGTATTTATCATTGATATGGTTTTGTGTTCCATTAAATTTCTAGGACATAGCCGCCGCTCTATCGTACCCTTGTCCAATTAAGTAATTCAATTCGAGTCAATTTCAAGTTTTTAAAGTATTGTTTGTGCTAATGCTTTGCCACTTACATCAGTAATTTCCACAAATTGTAAAAAATCTTCTCTTATTTTTTTTTTTTCTAAATGAACATAACGGACACAGATGGTAAGCTATTCTTTATTGGAGATATCACTGATCTCATCAGCCAATACGGAAAACCCTTTGGCCTTGTTTACAGCACATACAAGATTTTTTAATATAAGATTATTACAAGCAGAAAGTATCTCATTTTTTATTTTCCAGTTCAGATATGTTACATTTTTTGAGCAAGAAGATAAATGACTCTTTAAATATTCATCACCAGCATCCATTTGAAACCCTAGTAACTGTCTAAAATTTCCGTCGTTACATTCACGCTCATTAATATTCTCATTAGCTTTTAATAATATGTCACTCTCCCTATGGCCTCTTAAGGCTATACCTTGCCTTCCACAAAATATAACTGTTTTTACTATTGGAATAATCCTTAATTGGTTGGCTTCAATTTCTTTTTTAAGCATAGTGTTAATTTGAATATTAATTGAATCAACATTTTTTCGATTTGACTGCCAAAAAATGGTCATGACGATATTGAAATGTTTTATGATAATACTATTTGAATGAAGTTTGAAGTATCCTTTATCACCTAATACCTTCTTCCAGTTATAAAATTTTTCTAGTAATAATTTTCCTGGGTTCTGATTTCCTCCTTTACCTACACCATCATTTGGACTGAAAAATACGCAAGTCTTACAGTACACACCATTTTGCTCAAATGAATAATGAAGCCATTTAAATTGAAAAAAACCATGCAATTTGTCACTGCAGATTTCTTTTTCCAGTTTTAGGAAAAATATAGTCTGGAGTGGGATGCTTAAGCTTTGCCAATGCTGTAACTTTTTCATCTTCAGACAACTAAAATAAAAATCATCAAAAGCTTACAAACAAACAATAAGAAAAAATTCATTATTAGTATACATATTTTCTTTCCAACATAAAATGATATGTCTTTTTTCTATATTTTTTTCAACTTCATTAACAACATTACAAGTATATGGCTAGTTTGAAGCAAAGCAATAAATAATAAT